TTTCTGCAGAACTTCTGCCGAGCCATTCGGTCCCTAGTCTGTAGCGGTGCATGGGATTCTTCCATCCTAAGTGCAGGACTCTGCACTTGTCCTTGTTGAACCTCATCAGATTTCTTTTGGCCCAATCCTCCAATTTGTCTAGGGCCCTCTGTATCCTATCCCTACCCTCCAGCGTATCTACCTCTCCTCCCAGTTTACTGTCATCTGCAAACTTGCTGAGGGTGCAATCCACACCATCCTCCAGATCATTTATGAAGATATTGAACAAAACCGGCCTGAGGACTGACCCTTGGGGCACTCCACTTGATACCGGCTGCCAACTAGACATGGAGCCATTGATCACTACCCGTTGAGCCCGACAATCTAGCCAACTTTCTACCCACCTTATAGTCCATTCATCCAGCCCATACTTCTTTAACTAGCTGACAAGAATACTGTGGGAGACCGTGTCAAAAGCTTTGCTAAAGTCAAGGAACAACACGTCCACTGCTTTCCCTTCATCCACAGAACCAATTATCATGTCATAGAAGGCAATTAGATTAGTCAGGCTTGACTTGCCCTTGGTGAATCCATGCTGACTGTTCCTGATCACTTTCCTCTCCTCTAAGTGCTTCAGAATTGATTCCTTGAGGACCTGCTCCATGATTTTTCTATCATGGGACTGAGGTGAGGCTGACTGGCCTGTAGTTCCCAGGATCCTCCTTCCCTTTTTTAAAGATGGGCACTACATTAGCCTTTTTCCAGTCGTCCGGGACTTTCCCCGATCACCATGAGTTTTCAAAGATAATGGCCAATGGCTCTGCAATCACATCCGCCAACTCCTTTAGCACTCTCGGATGCAACGCATCCGGCCCCATGGACTTGTGCACGTCCAGCTTGTCTAAATAGTCCCAAACCACTTCTTTCTCCACAGAGGGCTGGTCACCTCCTCCCCATGCTGTGCTGCCCAGTGCAGTAGTCTGAGAGCTGACCTTGTTGAATGTGTCAGGTGAGCCAGGAAAGTTGGCTTACCAAAGGGATTTCTTAAAAACAGGCACTTGTATTTTTAAGAAAGCACAGAGAGAGTTACAGATCTACACAAAATAACAAACAGTCCTAAGACAAACTGCCCCCTATCCCTAGAGCCCTGTGCCAATACAAAAATGTGTATCTGCATCCGATACATGCTCTGCAAAAATTGTCTGTGGATTTTCAGGGTTCTATTTACCTGGCTTGTCTGAGGCTTTGAGACACCTGTCCCCGGCCCCCGTTCCACCAGAGCCCAGTCAGGGAGATCTGCATGGGCAGCTGCGGGGAGTCATGGCATGGGGAGCCAGGCGAGGAGCCTGGGGGATGGGAACATGGCCGGGGGCTGCTCTCAGCCTCCCCCCGGCTCTTGGGCAGGTGGAAGGTCCACCATGGCTCCCTGGCTGGGCTCCACACTGGCCTGGCCAGAAGTGGAGAGGGGGTGACCTGTGGCGCTGCCCGGAAGCTGCTCAGGTCCCCCTTCCAGGACATGTGGAGGGTCCACCGCAGCTCCCCACAGCTGCCCGCCCAGCTCTTGCCATAGCCAGACTGCGACTCCAAGCTATCTTGTCCCAGCCGGAGGCGGGTTGGTGAGAGCCACAATGGCAGCTGTGGGGAGCCTGGGTGCCTCCACCTGCCCTAGGCGGGGTGCCTGGGGGGCAGGGACATGGGCTGAGGGCTGCTCGGGCAGGTGGAGGGCCCAGGGCAGGTGGAGGGACCCAGGCTCCCCACAGCTGTCAGAATGGCTCTCACCAACCTGGCTCCGACCAGGGATGGGGGGCAGCTCAGAGCCGCAGCCCGGCCACAGTAAAAGTCAGGTGGGCAGCTGTGGGTAGCCATGTCCCTTCCCCCAGGCTCCCCGCCCAGGGCAGGTGAAGGGTCTGCATCACAGTTCCTCACAGCTGCCCGCCCAGCTCTTACCATCAGAGCCCTGCATGGATACAAAATTTGTATCCGCATCCGCGCTGCTATCCGCAAAAATGGTCCACAGATATAAAGCAGATACCCGCAGATTTGCAGGGCTGTAGCTATCCCCTGTGTCCAGTCTCACCCCTTCTATCACTACGTCTACACTACAGCCTGTGTTGGCAAAACTTTTGTCGGCATAAGCGCTCGTGTGCACCGTGCTATGTTGGTGGGAGATCTTCTCCTGCCAACATAGGTCCCGCCACTTGTGGGGGTGGGTTTTTTATGCCAACAGGAGAGATCTCTCCCATCAGCATAGAGCATCTTCACCACACAAACTGCAGCAGTGCAGCTGTATCCAAAGAGCTGAGTGGCCACAGCCCTTCTAGTGTAGACATAGGACTCTGAGGTCTGGTCAGCATCTCAGGCAAGGCAGAGACCCCCCCTGCTTTCTCTCTCTCCAAACTTGTCTTCTGGCATATGGTGGTCCATGGCCCCTCTGGCTCTGAGAGCATCGCCCCTGCAATATATCCCCCTTTTGCTATATGAAATTCTCTGAGCTCCATGGACCTCCCTTATTTGTCAAATGAATTCTTCACTAAGCTCCATCCCCATGCCAATAGCAGAGTCAGAGCTCCTTGTTTTAGTTAATAAGAGATGTTTTTTCTGCCTTTTAATCCTATTAGCCCTGCAGAGTGAAGGTGGGTCTGGGAGAGGGCTCTTTAATCCAGCAGACAAAGGCCAAGTGAGATCTAATGGCTGGAAGTTAAAGCTAGACAGATTTAGGCTAGAAATAAGGTTCACATATTTTACCATAAAGAAAAGGAGTACTTGTGGCACCTTAGAGACTAACCAATTTATTTGAGCATAAGCTTTCGTGAGCTACAGCTCACTTCATCGGATGCATGCTGTGGAAAGTGTAGAAGATCTTTTATACAAGATTTTATACGAGTTGGGCCCCAACTTGATTATCATACACATTATAAGGAGAGTGATCACTTTAGATAAGCTATTGCCATCAGGAGAGTGGGGTGGAGGGAGGTATTTTTTCATGCTTTGTGTGTATAAAAAATCTTCTACACTTTCCATAGTGTGCATCCGATGAAGTGAGCTGTAGCTCACGAAAGCTTACGCTCAAATAAATTGGTTAGTCTCTAAGGTGCCACAAGTCCTCCTTTTCTTTTTGCGAATACAGACTAACACGGCTGTTACTCTGAAACATATTTTACCATGAGGGGGATTTACCATTGGAACAACCTACCAAGGGTTGTGGTGGGTTCCCCATCACTTGGAGCCTTAAAATCACTGCTGGGCATCTCTCAGAGATCTGCTGTAGCTCAGCCACAAGCTGATCATAGAATCATAGAATATTAGGGTTTGAAGAGACCTCAGGAGATCATCTAGTCCAACCCCCTGTTCAAAGCAGGATCAACACCAACTAAATCATCCCAGCCATGGCATTGTCAAGCTGGCCCTTAAAAACCCTTAAGGATGGAGACTCCACCACCTCCCTAGGTAACGCATTCCAGTGCTTCACCACCCTCCTAGTGAAATAGTGTTTCCTAATATCCAACCTAGACCTCCCCCACTGGAACTTCAGACCATTGCTTCTTGTTCTGTCATCTGCTACCACTGAGAACAGTCTAGGTCCATCCTCCTTGGAACCCCCCTTCAGGTTGTTGAAAGCAGCTATCAAATCCCCCCTCATTCTCCTCTTCCTCAGACTAAACAATCCCAGTTCCCTCAGCCTCTCCTCATAAGTCATGTGCCCCAGCCCCCTAATCATTTTCTTTGCCCTCCACTGGACTCTCTCCAATTTGTCCACATCCCTTCTGTAGTGGGGGCACCAAAACTGGACACAATACTCCAGGTGTGGCCTCACCAGTGCTGAATAGAGGGGAATAATCACTTCCCTCAGTCTGCTGGCAATGCTCCTACTAATGCAGCCCAATATGCTGTTAGCTTTCTTGGCAACAAGGGCACACTGCTGACTCATATCCAGCTTCTCGTCCACTGTAATCCCCAGGTCCTTTTCTGCAGAACTGCTGCTTAGCCGGTCGGTCCCCAGCCTGTAGTGGTGCATGGGATTCTTCCATCCTAAGTGCAGGACTCTGCACTTGTCCTTGTTGAACCTCTTCAGATTTCTTTTGGTCCAATCCTCCAATTTGTCTAAGTCACTCTGGACCCTATCTCTACCCTGCAACATATCTACGTCTCCCCGCATCTTAGTGTCATCCGCGAACTTGCTGAGGGTGCAATTCATCCCATCATCCAGATTATTAATAAAGATGCTGAACAAAACTGGCCCCAGGACCGACTCTTGGGGCACTCCGCTTGATAGCAGCTGCCAACTAGACATCGAGCCATTGATCACTACCTGTTGAGCCCGACAATCTAGCCATCTTTCTATCCACCTTATAGTCCATTCATACTTCTTTAACTTGCTGGCAAGAATACTGTGGGAGACCATATCAAAAGCTTTGCTAAAGTCAAGATATATCACATCCACTGCTTTCCCCATATCCACAGAGCCAGTTATCTCATCATAGAAGGCAATCAGGTTGGTCAGGTATGACTTGCCCTTGGTGAATCCATGTTGACTGTTCCTGATCACCTTCCTCTCCTCCAAACGCTTCAAAATGGATTCCTAATGATGCAGGAATCACCGGGGGAGGTTCTCTGACTTGTGCTCTAAAACAGGAGGTCAGACCAGATGATCAGAATGGCCCCTTCAGGCCTTATCAGCTGTGAATCTATCACTTATTCTGGCTAATACTGGTCCATCTAGAGGCATAACCCTTTGTGGTTGATAAAGGTGCATGGCAATGGGTTTAGCAAACTGTAGCCACAGCGGGGTGAATACGTTAGCTACATTATTTGCTCAGATGAATGAAATTCATAAATACCTAGGGAAGCAGGGATGGCTGGAAATTTACTCTTCTGAAATGGGGTTGTCTTGTTGGGAAGAGGGTTTTTGTGTCTGAAAACACGTAGCACACCCATGGGGAATGGTCCCTGGATGTTTTTTCACATGGTTTTATTAAATTATAGATTATTATTGACAATTTCCCCATTTCTCCTTTCAGGGGGAGGCAAGCACATCAAGCAGGTACTGTACATGTATTTGCCTTTGTCATTTCCCTTTACATTCCTGTTCGATGCACTGCAGCATTACTGCACTGAACAGCTGAACTGAAAGTTGACAGAGAATGTCTTCTTTTTAGGAGTGAAAATGTGAACATTCAGGAACAGGAAGCCATTTCTACTCAACAGCAGGAGCTCAGAGGTAAGTGAATGCCACTCTCATATTCAGCAGTGCCCACCCCAAGCACTCACAACTCATCAGTCAGGTCCAAATACATGACAAGACCGGATAAAAAATATTACAAGATTTTGAACAAAAACAATTATGCCACCTCGTTTTTGAACATTTAAGGAAATTCCACCCACCCCATTCCCCACTCACTGCCCCCACAGTGTGTGTGTGCTCTTTCAGGATGCACAGCCAGTCTTAAGAACATGCGTACAAATGTGAGCATCTCCTGCAGTTGGGGTGTTAGCTCAAATGGTGGAGGTGGTGGTGGCTCTCCATGTTTGTGTTCACATATTGTCATGTGCAAATGCTCAGGCAGAGATAATGAGATTGGAGAGGCAGGATGATCCAGTGGTTACAGCACTAGCCTGCTGTGCCACAGATCATAGAATCATAGAATACCAGGGTTGGAAGGGACCTCAGGAGGTCATCTAGTCCAACCCCCTGCTCAAAGCAGGACCAATCCCCAACTAAAGCATCCCAGCCAGGGCTTTGTCAAGCCTGACCTTAAAAACCTCTAAAGAAGGAGATTCCACCACCTCCCTAGGTAACCCATTCCAGTGTTTCACCACTCTCCTAGTGAAAAAGTTTTTCCTAATATCCAACCTAGACCTCCCCCACTGAAACTTGAGACCATTACTCCTTGTTCTGTCATCTGCTACCACAGGGAACAGTCTAGAGCCATCCTCTTTGGAACCCCCTTTCAGGTAGTTGAAAGCAGCTGTCAAATCCCCCCTCATTCTTCTCTTCTGCAGACTAAACAATCCCAGTTCCCTCAGCCTCTCCTCATAATTCATGTGCTCCAGCCCCCTAGTCATTTTTGTTGCCCTCCGCTGGACTCTTTCCAATTTTTCCACATCCTCCTGGTAGTGTTTATTGCCTGTGACCTGTCCTTGAACTTTACTAAAAATGCCCTTGACAGAATCTTAACATTAGTCACCAGCAGTAGACTTCCCACCTCAGTCAATTCCCTGTAATTCCACTTGTGCTCACCAGGTGGCATCACTTTGTCAGTACTGTTCATCAAAATGTGCCTACCCCTCAGATTACCTTGTCTTGATCACTCAGCTAGTCTCATAAATGAATTGCTCTGTCACATTCCTAAGTGGCCCCTCTCAAAGCCTCCTGTCAAAGCTGTTGTAGGTGGTATCAATAATTAAATAGTCATAGACACAGAAACTGGGACCCAGGTGCTCACCCCTCCCCAGTGACCGTCCTAATCTCTGACCTGCAGAGTGATTCACACTTGCTTTCTGGACAAATAAGTATTACGGTATATAAGTATTTTCATAAGTATTCTCTCAGGTATATTAAGTGTTTAAATATAGAAGGGTGACAGTCCTGCTAGAGTTAAGGTTTAGATCAGGTTTCTGTTTAAAGCTGGTCTTTCCTAAGTGCTGTAAAATCCACACTGTTACTTGGAATGCCCTGACATTTGGTGTGGCTTATGAGGATGTATATTTCTATTACTGATCCAATTTTGGGACCATTTGGCCAAGGGGTAGCTGAGATACAGCCACACCCCCAAAATCGAGGTTTTCTTAAAATTGACAGACGTTTGGCAACCAATTTTCCCTCATAAATAGAGATAAAACTAGGGCTCAGTTGATCACACCAGGATCTCCAAAGCTCAAGGACTGCCTGGACAGGGTGTATTGGTATCCACCAGCCCTGTGGTGAAAATCAAATTAAACTTTTTTTTTAAAAAAGGTTTTGCTCCTCTCGTTTAGCTCATCAGTAGTCTCTTGTGCTACAGAAGGAGCTAAAGGGATTACAGTGAAGTCGTGCAGACAGAGAGGCTAACTACCTGGAAAACTGCCTCTTTTTTACAGCACTTGGGTAGCTCTGAGGGAAAGTCACAGTCATTGAATCGGAGTCTAGGTAGTGTGGGTTTAAATCCAAACGGAGGGAGATGTGTCAAGAACAAAAAACAGGCCTATTGCTCCAATCTGCTTCTTCAAAGGGGGTTTTGATTTAGGGGAAATGTAATCTGAGTGCAGCAAAATAATCCAAAGGCATTTACACTATTTTTGAACAGAAAATAAACTACACAAGCAAATAGTTGCTAGGAAGGGAGGGTGTTTGGTGTGGAAGAGTAGGTGGGAATAAAGGGAGAGGGGTTGGAGGCTCAGATGATGGGGTGGGGAAATGCGACACTGTGAAGGAAAAGATGGGGGTCAGTGACAGGGGGACTCAAGAAGATAGGGGCAGGGGCACCTGTCACTCTCACATTCCCCTCCTGTGTGTGAGTGCAATGATCTGGGGGCCCCCAGCCCAGCTACAGAGGTGTGACCCACCCTTCCTTGTCCTCTCATGCAAACCAGCTCCTGGAGGGGCCCTGCCTCTCTGGGGGAATCTGAGCCCCCTCCCTACCCCTCTGGGTAGGCTGGTCTGTAGGTCTCCTTTCCCTGCCGCCTCCCCACAGTGGTTCCTGAGCCCATCTTCCTGACCTTGTGTGTGCCAGCATGTGGGGCCCTCTGTACATTTATGTGTGTCTGACCTCCCCGTTATCCCCTCATGTGAGCCAGGGTCCATGGGAACTTGCATTTCTCATGGTGCCTGAACCCCCCTCCCCTGTGTGCGTGCCAGGATCTGGGAAAGCCCTGCCCCTTTGGGTGGGGAGCTGAGAACTGGCATGGTCGGAGCCTGCCGCAAGAACACACTGATGAGAGCGGGTTGAGGAGCTGAGAATGGGCAGGCTTGACAAGTATCAGAAACTCTCCAGCCCTGGGGAGGGAACGAGACACCCACTGGCATGAATGGAGCAGTCCTCAGTCTCAGAGCTGTTGTTTCAGGCTGTGTTCACCTCCATGGGGTTTACTGTTTCTGCTGCTCGTCTCTCAGGCTCAGGCCAGGTCTTGTCTCATGCCTGACCTTCCTGGGCCTCTGGTGGCCTGGGTGCTGCCCCAGGCCTGAGACCTTTATTTAGACCACTTGCTCCATGCAGACATTGGCATTTTCCCTGTAGAGCCAGGTGTCTCGTTACAAACTGCTCCCTGTCACCATTTCCAACCAGTTACTGTCACCCAGCTAGGATTTTTTTGCTGCACCATCACAATTTGCTGCTCTCACCATTCCCCATCCCCTGGTCCAGGGGCAGCAAGTTGTGCTAGGTGGAAGCACTCCCATCACAATGTGCTACAACTGCGAAATCTCTGTTTTAAATTTGGACACAAAGAAAATAAGATTCCAATGTGATATAATTTCCTAAATTAGAAAAATCTCATTTTCGTTGTGCCCAAACTTAAAATAAGTATTTCACCAGGGTAGCAAATTGTGATAGGAGGGAACACCCTCCAGAGACCACACACAGCTGTGGCTAGTGAGGGGGCAAAAATAAAAGGTTCTGGGGGGGGGGTCACGTGCCCTGCCAGATTGCTTGGGATGCCTCTAGCTGGGACACCCAGCAGTGAGGAGGCCCCTCACTCTGGCAGTGCCACTCTCCCTGTGTCCTTGCAGCCCTGGGAGGGAGGAAGCAGTAGGATGGCTGGCTGTATTATTGTAGCACCTGGGAGCCTCAGCCAAGGACCAGGACCCCATTTTGCTAGGCGCTGGTTGGCTGAGCTCCTCCCCGGCCAACTGAGGCTGCTTCATCTTCCCTGCTGCTGGAGTCCCACACGTTGCCTCTGCCTCTAACCCCTTCCTGTATGACATGGAGTAATAATAAATGTGGCTAGAAACAGGCCTGATCCTACCACCTCTCCCTATTGGTGTCAGTGGGGCTTTCCTGTGGGCTGTTGGTGAGAGGGTGATTCACAGGTGTCTCTTGCCGGTGGCTGTGAAAGGAGCTGGGGTTGGGGTGAGGGGCACTCATGTGATTGATCAGAATCTGGGCTCAGTGCCCAGGAATCCCATGGACAAGGCCCAGACCTCCCCTCAGGTGCCTGCTCTGGGGTGTCATTCCCTAGTGCTCATCCAGACACAATGACCGGCCTTTCCCAATGCACCAGCACTGAACAGAGACACCCCCGCCCCTCCTCTCTCCAGGCATCTGCCCCGTCTATCTCTCTTGGGTTCACTAGCTGGGGAGGTTCCTGTCTTCTAAGGAAGTAGACTGAAATTCTGGCTGGATGCATCTGGTGTCATGTCTCTGCCCAAATTGGCTTGTTTGGGGAGCGTGGAGGGAGGGGGAAGGTGTCCTGAGCTGCTGCCACCAGAGAGCTCCAGTTATTTTTAATGGAGGGAGGCTGCACTTGATCTGTCTGTGCTGAGCTTCTGGGTTAGATGCTGCTTCCACCTTTCTTTTCATCTTAGAGCCTGGACTGAGCAGCTGCTGCTCCCCCCTAGGCCCTGTGCTAGTGAGAGACCTTCATTAAAGCTCCTCTGGTGGCTTAAACCAGCCACTTGGGCAGCCCGGCCTCTGCCATCATCAGCTGCTGAGCCAGAGACTACAGGGGATGAGAAAGACCTGGGGGAAAGTGCTGCACAAACAGGAAAGTGAATCTGCACAAACAGTCTCTCCTCACCCTGTGACACTCCACAGGGTACCATCTGGACTGCTGGACCACTGTGTCCCTTCAATGCTCCAGTCTGGGGTAAAATTTATACCACTTTTCTGTGTAAACAGCCACTCCTGGTCAGTTTACATAGAGCCGCTAGCATGTAAATTCCACCCAGCCAAAATACATGAATACTCTGGCCAGCCACTCATGAATCATATACAGGGTGACACTGGCAAATTCCCCAGTCCCAGACTTTCCCCAGAAATGTGTGTCTTTTACTGCCCAGCCCTCTCCTGGAAGATACACGTTCATATAGGGACTGTCGTTTCATCAGTGGAAAATGGTAATGCACCAGCTTTGTTGTCCCAAATGGAGTTTCCACACACTTTAATCCAAACATACTGGTTAAGATAAAATAAGAAAATAAGTTTATTAACTACAGAAAGATAGATTTTAAATGATTACAAGTCATGAGGCATAAAAGTCAAGCCAGGTTACCAAGAAAATGAAAAGATTAAAAACCCAATCTAATGTCTAAATTTATCAAGCCAAATAAACATAAAAGCAATTTTTTTCTCACCAAAAGCTTATAGCAGTTGGTACTGCCTGAAGAAAAGTGATTTATACTTTTCTCACCTCTTTGAGGGTCATCTCTTGCTGGTATTGCAGACGTGAGATTTTGAGCCAGCCCTGTGATGAAATGTAAATTTATTGTTTATATCTTTCCCCCTGCTGGACAATGGCTCTTTAAGACCTGACTAGGGCTAACATGCCTGTGTCACTGAAAAACTGGTTTGTGGGCGTTAGCAAACCAAATATGTACCAAAATTACAGCATACTACAGTAGCAAGCCTACAGTAGAATCTTATAACTTCATACACCGTGTTGCTACACATATTTCAACAGGACAATAATGTTCAGCAGATCATGAGTTTTCAAATGACACCTCACAAGGCATTCTTTGTACAAGATTTATCATAATTTTATGAAAAGAGGTGAACATGGGGTGCAGGTTGGCACACACCCCATCTCTGGTCTCAGGGTTCTGGGATTCCCAGAGCTGCTGCTCTCACTGACATCCCCAGGCTCTGCTCTCCTTACCACACGCAGGAGCTGATCCAGCTCCAGGAAAGCCAACACCCCGGGAAGGGGACAATGACCAATTCTCCCAGCCAGAGGGGAGTGGAAGGGGGAAGGAGAGAGAGCGGGACAGTGACTGAAGGCTTGTCTACACTTACAGCACTGTTGTCCTTAGCAAAGCTGCTACCTATACCAACAGGAGAGCTTCTCCTGTCAGTGTAGGTACATCAGCAGTTAGGCTGGTATAATTACATCGCTCAGGGGGGTGGACTTTCCACCCCCTGAGCAATGTAGTTCTACCAACATAAGTTTGTAAGGTAGATCAGGGCCAAGTCTCTCAGGCAGAGGGGAGGGGAGGAAAGAGAAAGGGACTGAAAAGGAACCATGGGATCAAAAGTGGGTTGAGAGGCTACAGGAGCCAACCCAGCTACAGGGGAGGATCAGCCCACATACACATCCTCCTGTGTATGTTTCTGCCCTGCCATCGTCTTGCTGGAGGCAGCACTGAGTAGGGGGGATAATCTGGGGGGCCCTTGTGTTAATCAGGTCGGGTGTGTCATGATAGCTGGACTCACAGAACATCTCAAAACCACGAGGTGTTTATTAGAGAAAACAGTTCCCAAGTACAGATAGAACCAGACGAATAAATAGGCTTCTACTCATCTTGAATCCCAGCTGCTTTGTGCTGTGTTGCTGGGGGAATTCGGCTGGAAGCCCTGCCTAGCAGGCCAGTGAGTGTCACTCCAGCAAAAGGGGTCCCAGTGGTGGCATGGAGCTAACACAGGGGCTCAAAGCTCAGGTTACAGTGCCCTGAGCCCTGTGCTGTGCTGTACTTGGCCGTTCCTTATGTGCTGGGTTAGCATAGCTGCTGTTTGCAGGCTGCTCTCTCTAACTTACACCAGGCTGTAACAACCACCAGGAGCCAGTACACTGCCCCCGAGCAGTGTGGCATCAGGGTGTCCCAGACACAGCTCCTTTCCCCTGCTGTGATGGTAACAGGGGGCAAGTGTGGTTTTAATTATCTGTATTATCCTCATGTCTTGGGGCTCTAGCCATGGATCAGGACCATGTTTTGCCAGGCGCTGGCCAAACACAAAACAGAGACAGTCCTGCCCCACGAAGTTCACAATCTAAGTATAAGAGAAGAGGTGGCTGCAGAGGGAGGAGAACAAGGAAACAGTGAGACAATGCTGGTCATCACAATAGGCTGTGGTCACAGCACATCAGCAGTCTACCCGGTGTCAAGTTTTCTGGAGCATCACAGCAAAGGAGAGTTTTGAGGACAGACTTGAAGGAGGATAATGAGGTAGCTTTGCAGAGGTTTTGTGGGAGCTTCTCCCAAGCATGAGGGATAGCAGGGGAGAAAGTACCAAGGACCTTGTTTGAAAATGTAACAAGTAGGCAAGACAAGCTGGCACCATGGGCTGATGGAAGGCAAGAGGTGACCTTTTGATACTGAATGAGAGATAACACGTAGATCAGGATAGGCTGTGAAGAGCCTTGAAAGTGAAGACATGCAGCTTTTGTTTGAGTCAATGGAGAAAGCAGAGTCAGTGGAGGGATGCAAAGAGAGGGGTGATATGGTCAGTGCTGTGAGCTATGACCTTTGCAGAATGGCTATGAGTGGGGAAAGGTTTACATTTGTCAGTGTCAGAGGGGAGGACGTTGCAGTAATTGAGATCTGAGATGATGAGAGCCTGGAGAGGGGTTTTTAGCTGTGTGGGCGGATCGGAAAGGCCATATCTTAGAGATGTTATGTGGAAAGAATCTGCTAGGCCTGGACATGAGGGCCTAGTGACAGGTAGGATGGAGGTGTTGTCCACAGTGATCAGGAAAGTAGGCAGTGGGGAAAGGGTTGGGGGGAAGATTAGGAGCTCTATTTTAGCCATGTCGAGCATAAGCTGGCGGCTAGATATTCACAAGGAGATGTCAGAAACAGGATGAGCTTTTAGTCTGGACAGCAGGAGAGAGGTCTGGAGCCCAGAGGTAAATCTGTGAGTCATCATCAGCATGGAGAAGGTAATTGAATTTGTGTTTGCAGGTGAGATAACCCAGAGCTTCTCCCACTGGCATAGGTACTCCAACTCCCCTAGAGGCGGTATCTATGTTGATGGGAGAAGCCCTCCCCTGGACATGGTGCTCTCTCCAGCAGGGGTCAGGTTGCTGTAACTACGTCACCCAGAGGGTTGGATTTTTTGACCAATCTCTAGCTCACTGGGCCCTCAAGTTGGAGCAAAAAATAGAGAAAAACAAAGGGAAGGAGAGAGGCAGAGCAAACCAAATCAATAAAAATGAAGACAAAGAGTCCCACATAAGGTGCAGTTTTTTAACTATGTGGGTAATTAACCATTGGAACAACTGGCCCAGAGACATGGTGGATTCTCCATCACTTGGGATCTTTAAATCAAGATCGGATGTCACTTTCCAAAAGATTTGCTCTACCTCTACCACAAATTATGGGCTTGATGCAGGAATTACTAGGTGAAATTCTCTGGTCCATGTTATGGAGGAAGTCAGACTAGATGATCTGGTCCTTTCTGGCCTTCACATCTATCAGTGTTTACTTATTCAGTGTTGATAAATACAAAGTAATGTACATTGGAAAACATAATCCCAACTATACATACAAAATGATGGGGTCTAGATGAGCTTTTATCACTCAAGAAAGAGATCTTGGAGTCATTGTGGATAGTTCTCTGAAAACATCCAGTCAATGGGTAGCGGTCGTCAAAATAGTGAACAGAATGTTGGGAACCATTAGGAAAGGGATAGATAACAAGACATAAAATATTATATTGCCTCTATATAAATCCAGGGTAAGTCACATCTCGAATACTGTGTGCAGATCTGGTGGCCCCCACCTCAGAAAAGATATATTGGAATTGGAAAAGGTACAGAGAGGGGCAAAAAAATTATTAGGGGGTATGGAACTCCTTCCGTGTGAGGAGACATTAAAAAGATTGGGACTTTTCTGCTTGGAAAAGAGACAACTAAGGGGGATGTGATAGAGTCTATAAAATCGTGATGGGTGCAGAGAAAGTGAATAAGGAAATGTCAGTTTCTCCTTCACATAACACAAGAACTAGGGGTCACCATATGAAATTAGTAGACAGCAGGTTTAAAACAAACAAAAGGAAGTGTTTCTTCACACAGTGCACAGTCAACTTGTGGAACTCCTTGCCAGGGGACGTTGTGAAGGCCAAGACTATAATGTGGTTCAAAAAAGAACTAGATAAATTGATGAAGGATAGGTCCATCAATGGCTATTAGCCAGGATGGGCAGAGATGGTGTCCCTAGTCTCTGTTTGCCACAAGCTGGGAATGAGTGACAGGAGATGGATCACTTGATGATTATCTGTTCTATTAATTCCCTCTGGGGCACCTGCATTGGCCACTGTCAGAGGTCATGATACTGGGCTAGATGAACCAGTGGTCTGATCTAGTATGGCTGTTCTTAGTGTTATGAATTATACCTGCTAGGTCACGCACAGAACTTATGCGAATTATACCTGTTAGGCCACGCACAGTTTGAATCTAGGCTGAGGCACACGAACAAAATCCACAACTGCAGAGTTCCTAAAAAATGCTAAGTTTATTACGCTCGAGCATGGTGCCCCTCTGATAGTCAGGAGAGGACCCCAAATGCAGATTATACAAAGGTTATATACCTTTCAGCAAAGCATGTTGCCCTCGTGCATCAGAAACCTTAGCCAATAAACAAACCCTTTTCTTATTTACCATCTATTCCTGCTAGGTGCATTCCTCATGCTAAACTAGTATGTTAATTACACAGCATGGTCCGAAAGCAATACATTAGTAACTTTTATTATTAAAATAGAAGGCTCCACATTAAAGGCCAAAAAGTAAAAAGTTAAAAACAAACAAAAAACAAATACCGGAAGTCAAGGCAAGCTAAAAACAAGAAAAAGTGTTTCACAAAAATGCAGTATCTAAGGAACACTCCTGGTACATAATGTGCTTGCTTCTAGACAATGGTGGGCCCCCCCTCCGACCAAAATGGAGTCACATATGTTAACTTTTCCTTAACATTAGGTTCAGTGTACAGCAAATATTTTAGAAATGCATCTAATGACAGTTTAAAGACTTGATGACAAATGCTGCCATTTCCCTTAAGAAGCTGTTCCAATGGTTTACTACCCTCACTGTTAAAATGTCATCTAATTTGCAGTTAGGGTATAAGTCAGGAAATGAAACTGATCACTGAAACACTTACATTCCCACAGCCATGGCCTCTGCCCATTCTTTGAGGAAGCTACTGGAAGAAGTGGTCTGTCCCATCTGTCTGGGTTACTTCAAGGATCCAGTGAGCATAGACTGTGAACACAACTTCTGCCGAGTTTGTATCACAGAGCACTATGAACAAAGGAAAATGGAAACAGAGGGAGTTTTCTGTCCACAATGCAGGAAAAATATCAAGAAAGAGAATTTCCAGACCAACAGGCAGCTTGCCAGCATAGTGGAAAATATTCAGCAATTAGGGATAAAATCTGAAGACCTAAAAAAGCAGATAGTCTGCAGGCAACACAAGGACAAAGACAAGCTGTTCTGTGAAAATGATGATGAGGTGATTTGTCTGGTTTGTGATAAAATCCAGGAGCACAGAACTCACACACTGGTGCCCATCGAGAAGGCTGCACAGCAATACAAGGTAGGAAACATTATTTATTTCTAAATAGTCAGGAGAAATTAAGTCACTGCAGGGTAAGTTTATGTAACCCCTCTGCCAGGCCAAATTGACAGCAGCAAGGGCTGGGTTCAGTACACAGGGGTTCCCTTTCAACAATACCATGCAAAACCGGCTGGAGCCTTCACCCATTGACCTGGGAAAATTACACACACACAGCTGGGCACCTCAAAGAGGCAATACTTCCCCTCTCACAAGCACAGAGTCTCGGTATAGCAAAAATCTTTAACAACATGAGGTAAACAACTCAACTTAAATTGGGAAAACACCACAACTAGGGTTCATAAACACAAACCATGAACCAGAAGACCCACCCCCAAGCAGATTGGGCTGGGTCCTTTCCCTTTGGTTCTTGGGTCCAGCAACCCAAAAGTCACCCCCTCCTACAATTTCTGTCCCTGGTCAGTGCAGCCCCGCAATGGGGTTCTGCTGCAATCTTTACTGTGAGCCACTCCCCTCTACTAGCCACTCACCAATATGTCTTCAGCCCCCCCCCAACACAGCTTTCAGTGATTTTAGCTCTTAATAACTGCAGCTCTTTAGTGATTTCAGCTGCTAGTAGGGGAGCCTCAGTACTGGTACACCACTAGCCTAGAGTAGGTCTAATGTTCAGATCTAATTTCAGTTCTGCAGCATGTAACAAGACTTCTAAGGGAGTCAAAATTAGCCCTATCATTACATTATAAAGACGTTGCATAGGACCAACCCCAACTCTCCAACCTCTCTCTCAATTCACAGGGTTTTGGAACCCATGTCCCTTGCCTAACAAGCACTATTTAGGTGAGGGCGAGTCCCTCTGTCATAAAATGCCAATACAGTTCTACTGTCCTTGAGTCACATAACCAGGATAACAACACTTTATTACTCCTGCCCCAATAACAGAGAGACTGGGGATCCCACAGCAGCCAAAGTGACCATTTGGGTAAGCAGTCCCATTATGCTAGGCAGGGTGGGTGTGCCCATGCAAACGAGATCAGCCCCTGAAGGCCTTTTCCACAGCTCACCACCAGATGTCAGGGTACAGCCCATTCTGACTCAGCTTATATTTAATTTTAAAATTACATGGAGTTTAGCCATGACAGCTAGGAGTCTTCTAAATACACTGGGTGAAATCCTGGCCCTATTGAAGTCAATGGAAAACTCCCAGACCTGGATCCTGGATCCACAAAGGTACATTGAAACCTAAGACCCAGTTTTAGGTGTCACCGCGATCAAGAGCCTCTTTATTTACCCAAAGTGGAACAGCTTCAACAGGAGAGATGGAGGGAGCCCCACTTTAAACATTCCCAGTGGTTAGAGCAGGGGTGGGCAAACTACAGCTCGTGGGCCACATCCAGCACATCAGACGTTTTAATCCAGCCCTGGAGCTCGTGCCGGGGAGTGGGGCCTGGGGCTTGCCCCGCTCTGGCCCTCCAGACAGGGAGCAGAGTCAAGGGCTTTCCCTGCTCCATGCATGCTGTGGCTCTGCACGGCTCTCGGAAACCACAGCATATCCCCCCTCCAGCTCCTACATGTAGGGGCAGCCAGGGAGCTGCGCACGCTGCCCCCACCCCCAACACTTTCCTGCAGCTCCCATTGGCCAGGAACCACAGCCAATGGGAGATACAGGGGCGGCACCTACCTATGGGGAAGCGCGTAGAGCCACCTGGCCAGCACCGCACGTCTGCGTAGGAGCCAGAGAGGGGACATGCCGCTGCTTCCGGGAGCTGCAGGGGCGGCACTTGCTGATGGGGCAGGGCACAGAGCAGCCTGGCCATGCCTCCATGTAGGAGCCGAAGAGGGCACATTTCATTACTTCCAGGAACTGCTTGAGATAAACATCACCTGAAGCCTTCACCCCTGACCTTCTCCCATGCCCCAACCCCCTGCCCCAGCCTGATCCCCCTCCTGCCCTCCGAACCCCTCGGTCCCAGACTGGAGCACCCTCCTGCACCCCAAACCCTTCATTCCCAGTCCCACCCCAGAGCCTGCACCCTCAGCTGGACCCATCATCACACACACACACACCCCAACCCCCTGCCCCAGCCCCAGCCCGGAGCCTCCTCTGCATCCTCATTTCTGGCCCCACCCCAGAGCCCACACCCCCAGCCGGAGCCCTCACTCCCTCCCACACCCCAATCCCCAGTGTTTTGAGCATTCATGGCCCGCCATACAATTTCCATGACCAGATGTGTCTCCTTTCTCATCATCAGGCAGAGAGGGGGGAATTGAACCTGTGTCTCTTACATCCCAGCTGAGTGTGCCAACCACTAGACTAACAGTTATAAAGCAGGTGGCTTCTCCTCCTCCAGCTGTTTTGTGTGGAGTGAGGCAGACTCATAGCTCATTCCCCCAAGAAACAGCCTGGGTGTCCAACCATGTGACTCCAGGAGATGGCTTCTTGGCTGGGGGTCACTGGCAGAGATAGATGCCTCCCTGCAGCCTGGAGTAAGGTGTCTATCTCCCTGAATTGGGGGATTTAGGGCATCTCTCATCAACACTTCTCATTTGCTAGCTTAGGCAGCTCCCACCCCGGCATGCTGGGGTTTGTGGATCTCAGGCTAAGGTGCTGTCTCTCCTCATGCATTGTACAGGGAGCGTAGCCCCTAACTCAGGCTTTGTGGATCACAGTGTTGTTCCTAAGGTATTTGAGGATCTTAAAAGTTAGGCATTGCAATGCCGAGTGTCGCAATGTCAAAGTCCCTTTGTGGATCCTGGCCCCACTGATGTCAATCAGACCAGGATTTCACCCACTGAACATATTAGAACGTCTCTGACTTGAAACTCTGCATGGCAGCCCTCCAGCCCGTGCAGGGCATCTATGAACGTTCTGACTATTGTTTTCACTCCCCCAGAGTCTCTTGCTCTTACAAGAAATTAAAGCAACAGTAATGCTTTGTACTTGCACACAGCATGCGGCTTCCCATCCCGGGCTCGCAGACCCCACACAGACAGTGGGTCTAGCCAGAGAGCCCTGCCCTGTTCACCTTGCTTTGCACACAGGGACCCAAGGCACAGAGAGGGGACGGGCCCAGTTCTGCCCTCACTGACACCACTGGGAGTTTATCCACGGGGTTTAAGGGGAGCAGGCCCTGTGTGAGCTGCCCAAGATCCACATGAGGAGTTTGTTTGTCCAGGGTTGGTGCAGACAGAGCTGCCGAACTGGCTGAAGCAGTTTAAAAGCCAGTGTGATGCTCGTGCTCCAGTGCTGTGGGCTGGAGCCCAAGGTCTGTCAGTGGGGTTCCCAGCGCTAGGGAAGGGGTCCCAGCCACACACCTTGACACAAACACAATCCCTCCATCCTAGGGGGTGGAGTTAACCCCTGGAACAAGCACCAAGAGCACAACACGTTTCTCTAACCCAGACAGAGCAGGAGCAGATCCAGGTCAGGCTCTCTAGCAGGGGTTACACAGATTCCCTCACCCTGGCACAGCACACAGCTCTTCCCTCCCCACCCCCATGCCTGGCTAGACACACAGGATTCCTGCCTCACGCCAGTGCAATCCTCTAGCCCCTTGGGCCAGTCCAGCCTGTCTGTGGGCTCTGGTCTGGGGCTGGCCTGGGGTGTGGGTGTGTGTGTAACACACACACACATTCTGGGTGTGGTGTTGTGGCCCATCTAGTGGCAGCAAGACCACTTAAAGAGAGAGATAAAATGAGTCTGCTCTACAGCCTTAGTTAAGAGCCAGTTGGCTTTCAGCTCACGCGGTAGAGGCTCATGCACTCAACTCCAAAAGTCCCGGGTTCGATCCCGCCCACTGACGACCAGTGTCTGTTGGTGTACATGTGCACAGGATGGAGTGTCAGTTTTGTGGTCTCAGCTCCAGGCTGAGCGCTTACAGGAGTCCCCTTTTGCAAGCAACTGCCTCTCCTCCAAGCAGCTTCCTCTGGCCCCTCACCCAAGGCCTTTCCCTTTCCTTCTTTCTTTGATTTCCTTCTGAATTTCCCAGTCTGGTCCCCCAGCTCATTGGCTCAAACCCTCCCTGGTATCAGAGTTAATTCTCTGTGTTTGAGTGGCACTCCCCCACCCCCTGCCAATCAGGACAAGCTGGGGGGGGGGGTGTCCCGCTGGGCGCTGAACAGGTTCTTCCTTATATGACACCACTACTCCCTGAGCCCCTTCCACAAACCCTTCATTGCCCCACAAGGCATGGCAGGTGAGCAGAAAATCACCACCCTGAATCTTGGATCTGGCAGTTTGGGGACCCAATACAACAGCTCTGCAGAGAGCCCCGGGGTCACTCAAATCAGCTCTGTCTGTGGCAGAGCTGGGGACAGAACCCAGGTCCCTTCACTGCTGGCTTGCGCTTGGCCACAAACCCCTCCTTCCACCCATGGGTGAGGAATCCCCAGGGCTCTGACTCACTGCAGCAGAATTCTCCAGGCATCGTTTTCCCCACAGGTGAAACTCCACAATGACATTGAGCTTCTGAAGAAAGCGAGAGAGGAGATTTCAAAGCTGGAATCCAGAGAGCAAAATAAACCAAAAGAGTGGAAAGTAAGTGTCTGCGGTTTGGTTTAATCTCTCATTTCATTTAGGTGTTTTAAAGAATTTACGAGAGACTCTCGATAAAAATAGACAACACGAGCATAGCATTAAAACAAATAAACCCTGTTTATTATTATAATCAGACTTTAATTCCTGAAAATGTTTGGCCTGAGGAATATGGAGGGTAATGGAAGTGCAAAATTAGCAGATCTACATGGCACTTAACAATAATACATTGATTTATCCTGACTCAAAATGCAAATGAGGCCCAGATAAATCCATATTTTATTCATCTGTATTTCTATTGCAGAAGCCCCTTCTGGATCAAGGCCAGTAGGAAGGCAGAGGGCCAGACTCTTCCCTGTCTCACCCCTTGTGTCAGCATTTACAGCAGGGCCAAATCTGTGTAAAATGCCGCTGTTCTGATTTGGTCAATTTTACACTGACCCTGCTCACTGGGGTAGCCCTGCTCTCGCTCACACCAGCTTTACACTGCTATAGCCCCATTAGCATGGATAGGGTTACTCCTGATTTACACTGGGTCAATGAGAGGGGAATCAGCCCTAGTAAGTCTAGTGGAGTTATACACGTTTAGAGTCAGTGTTACTGCACCATACTTAAGGCTGAAACACCATTTCAGTTTAAAGCTGCCATTCAAAGTGCTCTACAACCCCAGGCATGCTCAGATTGGTTTGAAAATTGCTGTTTGTTGAGGGACCAGTGCAGAATACATGGGGCAAATTTAGGGGCATTTGATCAAGGGATTCTGGAGACTGCATCCCCAACACCATATGATGATCTGTTTTTTAGATGCTAATTCTTTCCCATCTTTCCTTTTATGGACATTTTCCATTTCCTGATGAATATCTAGTGTAATGAAAGGATGGGTAGTGGAGGTTGCTTTTTCCCAAATATGAGTTTTGGGTTGGTTGTCTCAAGTGGGGGCAGAGTTAAGGATGTAATTGTTACTTGAAGGTGACTCTGGCCCAGATCCACAAAGGGACTTAGGTGTTACAACACCAAAGCTTAAGACACCTGGAAAATCAGTGGCTTAGGGGCCTCAGCTCCCTGTACAATGAATGGGGGTAGGATGGTGCCTCTCTTATAACTTTTAGCCCAGTGGTTAGAGCATTCACGTGGGATGTGGGAGATTTTCCCCTTGGCCTGAGGGGCAGAAAGGATTGGAACAGGGGAATCTCACACTTCTCAAGAGAGTTGTGGGCAGAGTCGGGGGAAGGCAAGTCTCTTCTGTTGAAATTGTTCCACTGTGTGTAAATACTTATACAGTCACTGGGCCAGAGTGTAAAAGAGAATGGGTCTATAGCCCAGCTGTTGGGGTATCCACCTAGGAAGTGGGAGACGCAGAATCCGGTCCCCCTGCTTTACTGACTATTTACTCAGAAGTTATGGGCTTGATGCAGGAACCCCTTGGTGTAATTTTCTGTCCTGTGCCAGGCAGGGGGTCAGACTAGATGACCACAATGGTCCCTTCTGGCCTTAAAATATGAATCTCTGAATGTTCATTCAAATCTAATGTACTTCGCCCAAAATGGCCTTACACTTGATAATTCTGCGGATATTTATGGGTTTGTTTGTTCATTTTTATTCACTAAAGGAAAGAGTAAAGTGCCAGAAACAGCGAATCTTGTTTGAATTTGGGAAACTACAACTACTTCTGAATGAGGAAAAGAAACTCTCTCTCCAGGGACTGGCCGAGGAAGAGAGGGAGACTCTGAAGAAACTAAATGAGAATGTAACCAAACTCGCCCAGCAAAGCTCCTCTCTTCAGCAGCTGATCTCAGAGATGGAGGAGAAGTGCCAGCAACTGGCCACTGAGCTGCTGCAGGTGAGTTGTACAAAGTTCCCCTTTAGTTTCGATTTTCCACAGCCATGGAGACAAATACAGACTGTTCTCCCCCCCGCCCCCCCCATTATCATTATTATTACTGATTTACTATTTATTTACATAGTGCCACAGATTTATAGTATTACACACCATTATTAGCAATATTTAGGCCAAAATGTTCAAATTTGGCTCCCTATAGTTAGGGACCTAAGGGTAGAATGATCAAAAACACTAAGTGACTTAGGAGCCCACATCTCATTTTGAAGAATGACTTAGGGCCAGATTTTCAGAAGTATGTAGGTGCCTAGCGATGCAGATTGGCACCTTGTGAGGTTTTCAAAAGCATCAAATAAGTTAGGCACCTAGCTCCCATTGACTGGTTTTAATGTTCCTATCAGGGTAGCACCCACCAATTGCTGGATGCCTTCCAGTACCCAGAAAGACACAGCCCCGCCCCTAAAAACAGGGGTAGTCAATAGGCAGACTGTGGGCCAAATCTGGACTGCCAGATGCTTTTGAATAGCCCCGAAATATTTTATTTACTTATTATCATTATTGTTATTTTATTTATTTATTTTGGTTATTCTCTCTGGAGTCTGGACCTTTGACCAAGAAATTTGGACCTTTACAAACAATAATTGACTACCCTTGCCCTAAAAGATTAGCCAATCAACATTCCTAGGTTCTTACGTGGTGCCCATCACCATGGTATCAGAGCACCTCCCAACATCATCAAGTGTAGGCATCAAGATAAAGTTCTCTCTTTCCACCAGTCAGCAGAGCAGAACTTTGTTATTGGTAGGGCAGTTAGAAGACACATTTTCACAGTAAGGTCAGCACATTTTATCCAGTATTTGCAGCCTCTAGAGGCCAGTTTTACCATCACTTTTTGCACTACAGTTGCTATTTAACACCTGTATAAGCATGATTTAGACAGTGGCTTTTTCTAATCTTGTGATTTATTTTGGCAGCTCAGCACAGTAGCTGGAAAATCTGCACAATATTTTTGTGAAAATTAAATTTCTCTTATTGTTGTTTTCAAATAGTGAATACACCATTTAGTGACCCAGTGCACCCACAGTACCATTAGTGACTGATGAGTCATGCATCTGTCTGCACTTCTCTGGGGCTGGCGTTGTGCATGAGCACCATTGCAATCATACACCATTCAGTTATTATTACCTAATTATTACAAATCTCAATGTAACTCAGAGCAGCAGGTGTTTTCTGCAAAGTCTCAGGGAACAGAGAAAATTAACAAGCCGTTCTGTGAACAAGGGAGATGTCATGGTAGGGGTCTACTACAGACCACTTAACCAGGAAGAAGAGATGGATGAGGCATTTTTTTAAACAACTAACAAAATCATCCAAAGCACAGGACTTGGTGGTGATGGGGGACTTCAGCTACCCAGACATCTGTTGGGAAAACAACACAGCAGGGCACAGATTATCCAACAAGTTCTTGGAATGTATTGGAGACCATTTTTTATTTCAGAAGGTGGAGAAAGCTACTAAGTGGGAGGCTGTTCTAGATTTGATTTTGACAAACAGGGAGGAACTGGTTGAGAATTTGAAAGTGGAAGGCAGCTTGGGTGGAAGTGATCATGAAATGACAAGAGTTCATGATTCTAAGGAATGGTAGGAGGGAGACCAGCACAATAAAGACAATGGATTTCAAGAAGGCAGACTTTAGCAAACTCAGGGAGTTAGTAGGTAAGACCCCATGGGAAGCAAGTCTAAGAGGAAAAACAACTGAAGACGGTTGGAAGTTTTTCAAAGAGACATTATGAAGGACTCAAGAGCAAACTATCCCACTGCATAGGAAAGATAGGAAGTATGGCAAGAGACCACGCTGGCTTAACCAGGAGATCTTCAGTGATCTAAAAATCTAAAAAGAGTCCTACAAAAAGGGGAAACTAGGTCCAATTACAAAGGATGAATATAAACAAATAACACAAGTATGTAGGGACAAAATTAGAAAGGCCAAGGCACAAAACGAGATCAATTTAGCTAGAGACATAAAGGGTAACAAGAAAACATTCTACAAATACATTAGAAGCAAGAGGAAGACTAAGGACAGGGTAGGCCCATTACTCAATGAAGAGGGAAAAACAATAACAGAAAATGTGGAAATGGCAGAGGTGCTTAATGACTTCTTTGTTTTGGTTTTCACCAAGAAGGTTGGTGGTGATTGGACATCTAACATAGTGAATGCCAGAGAAAATGAGGTAGGATCAGAAGCTAAAATAGGGAAAGAACAAGTTAAAAATTAAATAGACAAGTTAGATATCTTCAAGTCACGAGGGCCTGATGAAATGCATCCTAGAATACTCAAGGAGCTTACTGAGTAGATATCTGAGCCATTAGCTATTATCTTTGAGAAGTCATAGAAGATGGGAGACATTCCAGAAGACTGCAAAAGGGCAAATACAGTGCCAATGTATAAAAAGGGAAATAAAGACAACACAGGGACTTACAAACCAGTCAGCTTAACTTCTGTACCTGGAAAGATAATGGAGCAAATAATTAAGGAATCAATTTGCAAACATCTAGAAGATAATAAGTTGATAAGTAACAGTCAGCATGGATTTGTCAAGAACAAATAGTGTCAAACCAACCTGATAGCTTTCTTTAACAGGGTAACAAGCCTTGTGGATGGGGGAAGCGGTAGATGTGGTATATCTAGACTTTAGTAAGACTTTTGTTATAGTCTTGCATGACCTTCTCATTAACAAACTAGTGAAATACAACCTAGGTGGAGTGACTATAAGGTGGGTGCATAACTGGTTTGATAACCATTTCAATTTATCAGTGGTTCACAGTCATGCTGGAAGGGCATAAAGAGTAGGGTTCCACAAGGATCAGTTTTGGGTTCTGTTCAATATCTTTATCAATGATTTAGATAATGGCATAGAAAGTACAGATGATAGCAAGCTGGGAGGGGTTGCAAGTGCTTTGGAGGATAGGATTAAAATTGAAAATGATCTGGGCAAACTGAAGAAAAGGTCTGAGCTAAATAGGATGAAATTCAATATGGGCAAATGCAAGGTACTCCACTTAGGAAGGAACAATCGGTTGCACACATACAAAATGAGACATGACTGCCTAGGAAGGAGTGGACCACAAGTTAAATATGAGTCAACAGTGTAACACTGTTGCAAAAAAAGCAAACATCATTCTGGGATGTATTACCAGGAGTGTTGTAAGTAAGAAACGAAAAGTAATTCTTCCACTTTACTCCACACTGATTAGGCCTCAACTGGAGTATTGTGTCCAGTTCTGGGCACCACATTTCAGGAAAGATGTGGACAAATTGGAAAAAGTCCAGAAAAGAGCAACAAAAATGATTAAAGGTTTAGAAAACATGACCTCTGAGTGAAGATTGAAAGAACTGGGTTTGTTTAGTCTGGAGAAGAGAAGACTGAGAGGGGACATGAGAACAGTTTTCAAGTACCTAAAAGGTTGTTACAAGGAGGAGGGAGAAAAATTATTCTCCTTAATCTCTGAGAATAGGACAAGATACTATGGGCTTAAATTGCAGCAAGGGAGGTTTAGGGTGGACATTAAGAAAAACTTTCTAATTGTCTGGGTAGTTAAACACTGGAATAAATTGCCAAGGGAGGTTGTGGAATCTTCATTATTGGAGATTTTTAAGAGCAGGTTAAACAAACACCTGTCAGGGATGGTCTAGATGGTGCTTGGTCCTGCCATGAGTGCAGGGGATTGAACTAGATGGCCGCTTGAGATCCCTTCCAGTCCTATGATTCTATTCTTCTAACAGCTGAACAGTACAACACTAACACTTCCTTATTTACTGTCTCCGTAGGATGTAAAGGGCACACTGGCCAGGTGAGATTCCATGTTCAGTTTACCATCAATTTATATCAAGCCCATTGCAAGGGTGCCTGTGCTGAGCGTCGATAACTGGACTGTGTTCTCCTTAGGAGTGAGCAGGTGAGGCTGCAGGGACCAGAGCTCAGTGCTGCTGAACTGAAGGATGCATACAGAGTCCCCAGCATGATGGAAGTGCTGAGGAAATTCACAGGTAAGTTAACACTAATGCAGCAGGGGCTCTGTAGGTTTTCCTATCTGCAACCTGAAAAGCACCCATGTTTCCCCATTCCTAAATCCAAGTGCCAGGTTCCTCTGGGCTCTTCCAGCCAAAGGTACTAAAAGTGCTATGATACATAGAGGCCAATACGTTAATACTGGGCCCCCTATGGAAAAGGGGCACTTACATTCAGGGACTCTGCCTTTGATAATTTAACACTGAAAAAGCCTGTGAAGTAAATGTACCAACTCCTGCAGTGACATTGGAACAATTTGTACAGTGGGGGTGCTCAGAGTCATTGAACCAAACTATACACCCTGTATATGATGGAAACCACTTCAAGCCAGGGGTTCCTGCCACACCCCCAGCACCTCTAGTTCCAGCACATCTGCATTGCTGGTAAAAATCCAATCACTGCTCGGTCCCCAGGGGCTGTGAACTGTTAGCATTACATATAATTCAGAAAGGGAACAACACTTGGCTCTTATATGGAGTTATTCAGCCACAACTTGCAAAGTGCTTTACAAGGAGGAAGTTTTCATTGTCCCACGTTCCAGAGGGGAAACTGAGGCACAAAGACTTGCCCAAGGTCAGACCAGAGCCAGGAACAGAACTAAGGTCTCCTAGTTTGTTGCCCCAGGCACTGGCCACTACTGCCTCCTATAGAAGCTGTAACGGTTGCCATATTCAGCATTGACAAGACATCTCAAAGTCACCAACATGTGCCATATAAGTGGCTGTCAGGAGTGGAGCAGATGGAACAGCTGGGGGCATTGTCCCAGGCCTGGCACTCCCAGCAAGAATGAGCAGCAGCCTGTGGCAGCTGCCTGCAGTACTGGAATAAACAGGCTGCTCAGACTCCTGCCTACAACACCAGCTGACTGCTGCAGTTCCGCTTTCCTGGCAGCCCCTGCCTGCCCCTGGAGACAGGATGTGAGAGGCCAGTGCCAGCTAGCCTGAGCCAAGGGTCACCCCTGCCTGTCCCCTCTCCTTTCCCCTGGCCTGAGGAGAACCCCAGACACCACAGAGGGGTCCGGGGAGGAGCCACCCCAGCTAAATGGTCCAGCTCTGAGACTTTTCACTACAGCTGGTCAAAAATGCTACGCCCCTTCTTCCAACACCAATGTCCTGTTCTGCCGTGAGTGTCGTCCCCCTGCCAGGCGATAGCAGATCGCAGAGCATTGCAGGTTGGCTTCCCAGTGCAGGAGAAATAAGTGACTTGGAGCCTGGGTCTATTCTGAGTGTCACTTGATTTTTTTCATTTTTACCAGATTTTTTGTTTTTTCAGTTAAACAAAACCTGAGAAAAAGTTGTTCATGTTTTCACTGAAAACTTTTGAAAGAAGGAAACAACAAAAAAAGAGTTAGCTTTTTATTTAACCAGTTCTCCTTTTGCCTTCCCCTTCATCCGTGTAACTGAGGCGGGAAGGAGGGAGACGGGATATTGGCGCGGAGGAACGCCTGAGGTCATAGTGAAGGATTTGCACTGGAGTGCAATGGTGGGAGTATGCCACTACACATGCTGGAGCTGTGAACGTGCTGCCCGGGATGTGCACATTAAGATTTGCTTCCCTTCAGAACCCTCCTCCGGGCATGCCCTTGTGTTCAGGGATTGGGTGGTTTGATGCTCCCCTGTCCAATTCAGCAGATGTCACCGTTCTGAGTGCGGTTTCTCTTTCTGGGAAGTGCCTTGGTTCTATGCATGAAAGTGGTGAAGTGGAACCCTCAATAACATTGTTATTCTCTTGGGATACTGCTAAGGAGGAGTTACAGCTGTTGCCTTAGAGGGGGGCCTGCTGCTCCCCATCCCATCCATCACACTGGGCTGCCCATCATGGCGGGGGCATTAAAAGTGGCACCTGAAGTAGTGCCAGGAACACGGGACTGTGAGCAAGTGGCAGCAGCATCAACTGCCCCCCACAGGATCCCTCACTGCTCCAGAATATTCTCGTGTGACCTGAGCCCCTTGTCCCTCCCGCCCACGCACCAAGATGAGCCTCCTGGGGCATATGCACCGACTCCATAAGTGCTCCGGGGCTGGAGCACCCATGGGGAAAAAATAGAGGGTGCTCAGCACCCATCGGCAGCCCCACGGATTAGCGTCTACCCCTTCTCCCCAGCCCCTCCCACCCACCGTGATCAGCTGTTCAGCTGGTGGTGTGCAGGAGGTGCTGGGTGGGAGGAGGAGGAGGAGCAGGGGTGGGAAGAGGTGGGCAGAGGGGGCGGACTGGGGGCAGGAAGAGGCAGGGCAGGGGTGAGAGCTTGGGGGAAAGGGTGGAGTGGGGGCAGGGCCTGGGGTGGAGCGGGGGTCAGGCACCCCCCAGGAACAGAGGAAGTTGGCATCTATGCCCTTGGGCCTGGGCATGGCTGAGCTCTGAGCCTGTCATGATCCTGAGCCTTTCTCCTTGGTTCTTCATTTAGGAAGGGGCCAGCCTCCTGCCACCCCCTGGAACCACATCCTGGGCACCCCCTCTGCCTGCCTGGTGCAAGCCCCTTCCCTTGCCCCCCTTTGGGTCCCCTGGTCCAAGCCCTTCCCCTCATCCCATCTCTGCCCCACTGGTGCCCACATCTCCACACCTCTCTGCCCCTCTAGAGCCGGCCCTTCTCCATATCCCACTTTCTACCCCCCTGTGCTCACCTGTTCCCCCACTCCCACCATGCCCCCTGGTGCCCACCCTCTCCTCTCTCCCCTCCTTGCATCTGCCCCTCTGCTCAACCCTCCCCATCCCTTTTGATGCCTACCCCTTCCCCCGCTCCACCTCTGTCTTCCTGGCACCCACCCCTCATGCCCCTCTCCCCCTTGATAACTGACCTTTCCCTTGCTCCCTTATTGCCCCCTGGGGTCTGCCCCACCCCTTGCCTCCTCATTCCCCTCTGGCACCTGCCCTACCCCTCAGCCCTCTTTGTCCCCTTGTCACCTGTGCCTTCTCCCATCCCCTCCTTTTCCTCAGGTGCCCACCTGTCTGCTCACCCTCTGCAGCACCCTAGAACCTGCTCTTCCCTTCACACACCCCCGCCTCCTCCTCGTGCCCGTTTCTTCCCTTGGCCCCCCACTGCCCTTGTGTCCCGGAGTCCCCGGGTGATGCTCTGGAACTGCTCCCTACGAAGCCAGCCAGGACTCTGGGGAAGTCACCTTTCTGTGAGCAGACTGTCTTCAGGACACACAGCTCACACAACTGCCACCTTCCTGGGTCTGATCTCGGAGCATTCAGCATCCTCTGTCTCTCTGTGCGCTGCCCACAGCGAGTCCACCCAGGCGGGCTCCTGGGGAAGCCAGAGGGTCCTGCACCCCAACTTCGCACTCAGACGTGACTCTTAGTCAGCCAGTAAAACGGAAGGTTTATTAGACGACAGGAACATGGTCTAAAACAGAGCTAGTAGGTGCAGAGAACAGGACCCCTCAGCTGGGTCCATTTTGGGGGGCAGTGAGCCAGACAACCACGTCTGCCCTTCACTCCATGTCCCCAGCCAGCCCCAAACTGAAAACTCTCTCCAGCCCCTCCTCCTCTGGGCTTTGTCCCTTTCCTGGGCCAGGAGGTCACCTGATTCCTTTGTTCTCCAACCCTTTAGGTCTCACCTTGCAGGGGGGAAGGGCCCAGGCCATCAGTTTCCAGGAAACAGGGTGTCGGCCATTCTCTGTGTCCAAACCCCTGCACACACCTGCCCTCTAGAGCTCTGCAACGATCATACACCTTTATCCCACCACCTAGATACTTAAGAACTGCATAGGGGAAACTGAGGTACCCCCACAATATTCAGAGGAAACATTAAGAACAGTCCCGCTTCGTCACATCTTGTGCCTGCTCCTCTCCTCTGCCCCTCCCCTGTGTCCCTCCACCCCCTCTGTTCCTGTCACCTGCCCCTCCCCTTTCCACTCACAGCATCAGCCTGCCCCCCCCCCGCGCCCACTGGCACCTTCCCCCCTCCCCCCCACCGCCCTTTCCCCCTCATTGTCTCCTCACAGGCAGACAGGCCCTGACTCCCCTCAGGCAATAACACTCCCACCCCTCAGCGATTAGACTGGATGCAGGTTAATTTCTCTTTGATCCCAGTGACCAGCCCCTGCCCCCGGTTCTGACTCTGTGACTCTCTCCCCAGTGGACGTGACTCTGGATCCAGACACGGCAAATCCCAACCTCGTCCTGTCTGAGGATCGGAAAAGTGTGAGACTCGGAGACAAACGACAGGATCTGCCCAACAATCCTGAGAGATTCGATACAGGCCCCAATGTCTTGGGTTCTGAGGGGTTCAAGGGTGGGAAGCGTTACTGGGAGGTGGAGGTGGGAGACAAGCCTGAGTGGGCTCTTGGGGTTTGCAGGGAATCTGTGAGCAGGAAGGGGAAGGTCTTCCTCTCCCCTGAGGATGGATACTGGGCTGTGTGGCTGAGGGGTAAGAAATATGAGGCTCTTACCGATCCCTTGAGCCTCCTCCCAGTGAGCATCAGGCCCAGCCGGGTGGGGATTTTCCTGGACTATGAGGCGGGTGAGGTCTCCTTTTACAATGTGACTGACAGGTCCCATCTCTTCACTTTCACTGGCACCTTCTCCGGGACGCTCTGCCCTTTTTTCTGTCCTGGTCTCAACACTGGGGGTGAAAACGCGGCTCCCCTGATCATCTGCCCGGTCCCAGCTCAGGCCGGAGGGAATCTCTGTCCCTGACAGTGACACCTGTAGCAGAGACTGGCCCCTCCCAGCGCTGACCAGCCCCCAAGTCTGTTCTCCTAGGGATGGTCTAAAGGGCATCATCTGCCTGCCCCCTCCACCCCCTTCTCTCTCAGTTCCCAGCACCAGGCCTGTGAGCTGTGGGAGGGGAGAGAGGCTGAGAAGGGGGTACAGGAAGTAGGCTGCAGGGGCAGAGAGGCATGGGTGCAATGTCAGGGGTGGCACAGTGGTGTGGGGAGGGGCCTGAAGCATCAGGAAGGGAAGAGCCCAGATCACAAGGGGAAGGGACGTAATTAGAGGGGGTGGGGAGACAGACCACATGTGGGACAATCCCCTGGTCTAAATGACAGCGGTGAGGAGAGGGGCCCAGTGTGTGTGAGGGGGCCAGTGAGCGCCTGGGGCATTTCCTGCCCTGGGGGAGTCTCTGCCCATGGAGGGGAGTGAAACGGCCACAGGGGGCAGCATGGGAGCAGAGGTGAGAGAACCGGGGCCCTGCTGCAGGGGCTGCTCTGTGCTGCAGACTCAGCAGTGTGGGGGGAGCTGGTCCCAGCTCGATGGAAGGAGGGGTGGGAAGTGGGGATTCATTAGCGGGGTCAGGGGTAGGGGAGTGAGAGCCCAGCCCCAGGGCTGTGTGAGCAGGCTGGGTACAGGCACCACTCATGGGAAGGATCCCAGGTAATTTCCCCCGCCCCCCCTGCATTTCCTTGCTCCACACACCCCTGCCCCTGGTGCAGTGTGTGACATGGCTCCCAGCATAGGATAATACTGGTAAGAAATACTGACAGACAGCTACTGGTTTTTGCTGCCCCTCACCTTTCCCCACCCCCTGGCCCAGGTGTAGCAGATGGTGGTGGAGAGGGATCATTCACTCGTCTCAGAATTTCTACCCCTGTGAAATCTCAACGTAAAATATGGAGCAAAAGAAAGAATTTAAAAAAAAAATTGTTCCAATTTAGGAAATGTCAGTACAGTAACAAGAATATTTTAATATCCTTTTCAACAGTATTTCCAAAACAAGCATCTAAACATATTTTTAGAAATAGAATTATTTACATTTATTTTGTGATTCTTCCCTGAAATCTCCATTAAAGATTAACTTCTCTCAATGGCATCATTTGTATTTAAAGAGTTTCATTTCAAGAAATGCAAAATATTTATCCTAACCAAATAATTATAAATTTTTCAGATGGGGTTGTTTAGTTACAATGTACATGAGTCTAAACATCACAGGTACACACATGTGCTGCTGCTCTCTCTCTCTCTCTCCTTACTGTCTTGACTGGATCCCTCTGGAAGGCAGGGCACATGCACCCACCTCCTGCAGGACTCACACTGCAACTTTGCAAAGTAATAGGTGAAAAAATGATGACACAGAATTAATTAACCAAATATTTCAATGAACTCACACAAGATTATATAATGATATTCCTAGAACTTCTGTTAAATTAATTCATGTGATTTGTAACTTTCTAGCTACATATAATCAGTAATTAAGATATGACTCTCCCTTTCTTGTTCTCCTTCTCACAAATGAACAAAACATGGTCCCCAACCTCAAATGTTAATTTCCTATATATAGAAATCTCTTCTACCAAATCCTTTCTCATTTGTTTCTCTTTAAAAATATTATTTGAAGCCAATGTACTGCCAGTGTCCACTGCTGATTTCATTGGTCTCTTTGTGTTCTTGGTTATCAGGACACAACAAATGTAGATTGATTCAGAAATAGAGAAGGGATTGTATTTCTTAACTGATTAATCACAAATTAACTTAACTGTATTAAAAAGACCCTGGCTCTTAAATATACTTACCATGCAATCCAGTGAAACTTAATGGGGAAACCTTTCTTCTCAGTCACACGTGATGCTTTTGTTGTCATGTGTGGTTTAGCGCACAAAGAAAATAAAGTTGTTCCAGGAAATTCAGCCCAATTGCTCTGGGTTCCATCCACCGCCTTCTGGAATGCTCTGTATAAATACTGATGGATTGGTCTAAATTTCTTGAAATCAGTGATTGAAACTAATTTCTTGAAGAGCTGGCTGAGCAGAGTATGAGGGGAGGCTCATCACATGGCATTGCTAGGACTACTTTCTGTTTTAAACCTGATACGGTATGAACATTTTCAATGTAATAATTCAGTTTTCAAGATTATTCATAATATGAAATTTATGGCAGAGCACCCTCCACTTACTTTGATTATTTGAAAATAAACACCTTTAAATTATCTTGTGATGGATTCATTTGGCTTTTCATCCAGTCTGCTGGTCTCTAGGTGGCCTAGGCTGGTGAAGCTCTTTGTTATTCCCAGTTTTTCACATCGAGAAAGATTAAACTGAAAATGCATTATTTTTCCATAATATTTCCTTCAGAAATACTGGTGTTCCTTTTCCTATTTCTCACTGAAATTGTGAGTAATTACTGGGGTTTCTTATCCAGTGTTATTGTGTTATTGCATGGGAAAATATGTGGGTAAGCTGGTTAATGTACAAAACAATTGTTGGTATCTGAGGAGACATAACAATGTGTTGTCACTAACAATGTACAGTACAAACTGTCCTGAGGACAATGGTGGCGATGTTCATTGATAAATATCTGACTGTGAATGGGCTCCCCCTTCAGCTCCTGGAGCCCCTGGCTGGCAGGCTTCTTTGGGAAGTAAGCAGCCAGCACAGACCACCAGGCTACCAGCACCACATGTCTTTATTACTCTTTATGCTCCAGGTACATCACAGCAAAGCAGGGCTGGAACACCCAAGGGAAAAAATTAACAGATGCTTAACACCCACCAGCAGCCAACCCCCCCATCCCTCTCTCCCTCCCTCCCCCCAGTGCCTCCCACTCACCGTGGATCAGCTGTTCTGCAGCATGCAGGAGGTGCTGTGAGGAAGGGGGAGGAGCAGGGACAGGATGTGCTCGGGGGAGGGGATGGAATTGGGTGGGAAGGGGGCGGAGCAGGGCTTTGTAGAAATGGGCAGAGTGAAGGTTGAGCACCCCCGAGCCAAGTTGGAACTGGCACCTGTGCCCTGGGGTGGAAGGGACTTGATGGCTGCATTCCTGCTCACACCTTTTCTTGTCTAGAGCAGACTTGCCTGCAGAGCAGACTCCATCTTGGCCACAAGGGCAACAAAGTTACACTGAAACCAGAGAACATGACCCAGAGCACTCAAAGGTCTCCTTTGAGACCTAAGAGGGACCCAAACCAAGCACAAACTGCCTGTTGGAACCAGGTGCATGATCACTGAAAGGGCCTTAAATGCCACATCGCTGGACAGTTTCCTGTCCCTGAAGAAGCCAAACCTATTTTAATCTACAGTCTGTGCACTGACAATTTCTGACTTACCCAGCAGGGCAGTGATAGAACTGGGAGTAGAATCCAGGTCTCCTGATTGTTAGTCCAGCCCCATAACCATTAGACCATGCTGACTCCAAGGGAGCAACTTCTCTTTACATCCCCCACCAAGTCTTTGGTGTCTCTGCTTCTCTCACCATCTCCCTCTGTGCCCCTGAAGCCACCATCCTTTCCACACCTCTATCTCCTGTCTTCATGTCTCTGCGCACTACCCGTGTCTGCTCATGTTCTTGGGCAAAGAGGTCATCACTGCCATTGCTACGCCCCTAGGCATGCAAGCGGCTGACTCCCTGCGTGCATTGTGTTCACAGCAGAAGGCTGCAGATAATTGTGTGAGGTTCAGAGAGGAGATGGGCAGACAAATAGTTCCTCTGAAGCTGCCTGGCAGCTGTCTCCCCACTCCCCAGCAGCAATGGGGGCTTCCTGCAGCCAGGGAAGGTATTTGAGGTTCCCCAGCCCCTGCTTCTCCTCTGCTCTGCCGTCCAGGAAAGACCAGGTCTCTCTGCAGCTGAAGTTCCCACCCCCCACTTTTCACATCACCATTTCCTCCAAGTCCTGGATCCATAGAGCTTGAACCCTATTTGCCAAGCTATCGCATGGCTCCCAGTCTTCTCCGTGTTGTCCAGTAGCACTTTCCCCTGTGTGACAGCTAGTCCGTGGGGTGCAGTCTGCGGGAGGCACCAGGACCCTGCAGTTACCAGCAACCGGGGCTGAAGTCATGGAGGGCTTTGGAAGTCACAGATTCTGTGACCTCTGTGACAAAATTGTAGCCTTACTCATGATCATATAATTAATGTAACTAAGCTTTCTCTCACCTGCCCTCTCAGCAACTACACACTGCAAACACTTCAAAGTATCCCCATTCCACCATAAAATATGTATAGAGGGGGGAGGAGCACTCAGGAATCACATAGAAACCATGTGGCCTAATGGCGAGACAACTGGACTGGGACTATTCCTGGCTCTGCCACTGGCCTGCTGGATGACCTTGAGCAAGTCACTTTACCACTCTGTGTCTCAGTTTCTCATCTGTAAAATGAGGATAATAATGTAAAGTTCTTTGGGATCTATTTATCAAAAGTGCTACATAATGGATACATATGTAATGGATACATAAAAGCTAGGTTTTTTGGTCATTACCTAGCCACAGAAGCAATGAACTGCATTCTGAAACGAGAACTACAGCTGCCTAAACAACCACTAACTCCTACAACAAACATTTCTCTTTCTGTTAAAAAAGCTCAGAAATTAAATGGCAAAAAAATTCATTAATGCAGAATTGAGGTTTAGCAGATTACTCTCGGGGGAATTCTGCACCACTGCGCAATACAAAATTTTAGCAGAATTAATGTTCTGCGCAGAATTTCCTTTTTCCCTTGCAGAAATGAGCTGAAGAAGTGCTGGCTTCCACTAGGGGCCACTGGACCTGGCAGAGCCCAGCTCCCCAGCTTGTAAAGGGAAGACACTGCCTGGGGGAGGGGGATGGAGCTGGAGGCTTCCTGGCAGGTGAAGTTCTCAGCACACCCTGAAGGAAGGAGGCGGCATGCAGGAAACTCCATAGAAACCCAGGACCCAGCATCAGCCTGTTTCTCCCTCTGGATCCCTGGACTCTTGGAGGCAAGGGGTGAGAGTGTCTGGACTGGTGGGGGTGGGCCTCCGGTTGGATTCTGGGGGTAGGGGATGTGGGTGTCTGGGATCGGGGGTGGGGGGCAGAGAAACAGGAACTGGATTGTCATGAGGGTTTCTTTAACTCTCTGCTCCTGTGGGAGTTTTTGTTGTTATCTGTGCTGTTACAGACATAGCTGCTGACAGGTATTTTGAAATAAATTACCAAAATAATTGAAATTGGCTTGATTATATAGTGTTATTTTGACAAATTAAATATGTAGAATTTTGCAGAATTTTAAAATATTGTGCACAGAA